GGGCATGGTGGCGCGTGCCTGTAATCCCAGCTACTCAGGAGGCTGGGGCAGGAGAATTGCCTGAACCCGGGAGGCGGAGGTTGCGGTGAGCCGAGATTGCGCCATTGCACTCCAGCCTGGGTAACAAGAGCAAAACTCCGTCTCAAAAAAAAAAAAAAAAAAGAAAGAAATAAAGACCAAATATATGCTCTCTGTAAGAGACACATTTTGTATTCAAATACCCAAATAGGTTGAAAGTTTTACTATTGTTTTATGATAGAGAAAGCCATAAAATGCAAACAGCAATATTAAGAGAGGTGCAGGGACTATATCATCTGACAAAATAGAGTAGAACTTTTACTACAGACAAACAGAAAAATTTTATGATAGTAAAATTGTCAATAATATCAGGAAACTATAGCAATTAAGAATGTGTCATACCCAACAAGAAAGACCTAAAATACATGAAGCAAAACCTGAGATGAAGCTGGGCACAGTGGCTCACGCCTGTAATCTCAGCACTTTGAGAGACCGAAGCAGGCGGATCACTTGAGGTTAGAAGTTCAAGACCAGCCTGGCCAACGTGGCCAAACTCTATCTCTACTAAACAAAAATTAGCCAGGCATGGTGGCATATGCCTATAGTCCTAGCCACTCAGGAGGCTGAGGCAGGAGAATCGCTTGAACCTAGGAGGCAAAAGTTGCACTGTGCTGAGATGGCGCCACTGCACTCCAGCCCGGGTGACAGAGTGAGACTCTGCACAGGAGTCCAGAAAAGAAAAAAAAAACAAAATGAGAAACAGTCAAACAATCATCAGTGGAGATTTATACCACCATCAAGAATTGATAGAATGAGATGGAGTATCAGCAAGGTTTTAGAAGATTTGAACAGCACTATCAACTAAGTTTACTTACCTTAACTGGTGCTGATGGCTACATAGCTTTGTAAATATACTAAAAGTCACTAAATTGTACACACAATGGGTGTATAATGTGGTGTCTAAGCTGTTTCAATAAGTAAATGTGCAGGACACCCAAACATTTATTAAGCCTGGTAAATTGTAAGCTTTAGTTTCCCAGGCTTGTGGCTTACCAAAATTACTCAGGGTGGGAAATGTAATCAGAGTTACTATGCACACATAAAGCTGGTACTTCAAAGAGCTATAGTCTCTGTATAACCATATACTAGAAGTAAACCTGCCTTACATCTCTCATCTCAGAGGACTTCAAAGAAACATCTTGGCCCTGAGAAAGTTACTGATTAAAGGCTCATATATCCCTGAGAAGTAATAATCATAAATAAGCTCGAGTGGAATTTCAACCCCAATTCACATACCCAAGTGGGAAAAAAAGAAAAGAAAAAGCTTGAATCATGAATTTAGTTTAAGATACTTCAGACTGGTAATGTGCTCAGGTACCTGGAAAAAGCAAATTCACATCCTCTCAAGGAAGGCATCTTTATCCTAGACCTCAAAAATCCCCCAATAAGCATTCCACAGTTAATAAAACAAGACACCTTGAGCAAGAACTGATAGAAATAATGGCCAGTGAAAAAAACAAACAATCAAAAAAAAAAAAAAAAAAACAGTGGAGACTTCACATACTGGAAGTATCAGACAAATATGTGCTTACTTTGTTTAAAGAAATAAAAGACAAGATTTACAGTATTATCAGGAAATAGAAAATGATAAAGAATGATCAAAAATGTTTGGGGAAGAAGTAACTTTATATCTGCAAGGAATGTAAAAATGTATAACAATATTAAAACCCAATGAGTATAATTGAGAATGGTTTACACAAAGATAAAGAGAAAATTAGTGATTAGAAGAGAGTTCTGAAGAATTTGCCCAGAGTATATCACAAAGATTTTTTTTAAATAGAAGAAAAGTTAAGATACATGGGGAATAGAGTGAGAGGATAAATAATGTTTAACAAAGTTCCGTAGGAAGAGGAAAAAGAGAAGAAGACAAAGGCAATATTTGAAGAAAAATGGGTGAGGATTTTCTAAAACCAGTGAAAGGCACTAATGCACACAAACAAATAAAAACAGTGAATGCCAAGCACAACAAACAAACAAAAAATTATACATAGATTTGTAGTGATCGTGAAACTGAAAAACACCAATGAAAAGAGAATATCTTAAAAGCAGTTCAATAAACAGACTGATTACTTTTGAGAAGTGACAGATTGACAGCTGACTTGTCAACAGAATAATGGAATCCAAAAGACAATCAAATTACATGTTTAATGTGCTAGGAGAAAATAAATGCTAAACTAGAATTCTATAACTAATGAGACTGTCTTTAAAGAACATAGATTAAATAAAGACATTTTCAGACGAGGTAAAACTGAAAGCATTTACCACCAGCAGACCACCATAAAGGAATATTAAAGTATATTTTTAAGCAAAAAATGTGATCCCAGATTGAAGGTCTGAAATGCAAGATGAAATGAAGAGCAAAGAATGTGGTAAACACATGGACAAATGGAAACACTTCACACTTAAATATTTAAGACTATTTTAATATCAGTTACAAGTATTAAATATTGACTTAAAAAGCAATTAATAGTTTTAAAACAGTGACAAAATAGTCTTAAAACAAATGAAATTCAAAATAATAATAACAAGTTGGGACAGGGGTGAGAGGAGTGAAAGTGTCCTAAGATCCCCATATTATCCAGGAGGAAGACCAAGGAAGGGAT